GGCAAGGCAAGGCACAAGGCAAAACAAGGCCAGGCAAGGCAAGAACAGACAAGACATGGCAAGGCAAGGCACAAGGCAAGGCAAGGAACAAGGAAAGGCAAATCAAGGCACAAAAAAAGGCAAGGGAAGGCACGAGTCAAGGGAAAGCAGGCATAAGTCAAAACAAGGCACAAGGCAAGGCAAAGCACAAGGCATGACAAGGCAAAGTAAGGCAAGGCACAAGGCAAGACAAGCCACAAGGCAAGCAAAGGCACAAACTAAGGCAAGGCAAGGCAAAGCATAAGGCAAGGCAAGGCAAGGCAAAGCACAAAGGAATACAAGGCAGGGCACAAGGCAAGACATAAGGCAAGGCATAGGGCGAGGCAAGGCAATGCAAAGTGCAAGGCAAGGCAAGCCAAAACACAAGGCAAGCCACAAGGCAAGACAAGGCACAAAGAAAGACTAGGGAAGGCAAGACAAGGCATGGCAAGGCAAGGCACAAGCCAAGGCAATGCAAGGCACAAAGTAAGGCAAATCAAGGCACAAGGCAAGGCAAGGGAAAGCATAAGGAGAGGCACAAGGCAAGGCAAGGCACAAGCCAAGGCAAGGTAAGGCAAAGCACAAGTCAAGAGAAGGCAAGGCAAGGCACAAGACAAGGCATAAGCAAGGCAAGGCAAGTACAAGGCAAGACAAGGCACAAGCCAAGACAAGGCACAAGCCAAGGCACAAGGCAAGGGAAGGCACAAGGCAAAGCAAGGCACAAGTAAGGCTAGGCAAGGCACAAGGCAAGGCAAAGCCAGGAAAAACAAGGCCAAGACAAGGCAAGGCACAAGGCAAAGAAAACCGAGGCACAAGCAAGGCACAAGCCAAGGAAAGGCACAAGCCAAGGACAAGACAAGGCATAAGCAAGGCAAGGCAAGTACAAGGCAAGACAAGGCACAAGCCAAGACAAGGCACAAGCCAAGGCACAAGGCAAGGGAAGGCACAAGGCAAAGCAAGGCACAAGTAAGGCTAGGCAAGGCACAAGGCAAGGCAAAGCCAGGAAAAACAAGGCCAAGACAAGGCAAGGCACAAGGCAAAGAAAACCGACACAAGCCAAGGAAAGGCACAAGCCAAGGAAAGGCACAAGCCAAGGAAAGGCAAGTAACAAGGTAATGAAAATTAATGCACAAGTCAAGGGAAGGCAAAGCACAAGGCAACCAAAGCAAAGTACAAGGCAAGGCAAGGCACAAGGCAAGGCAAAGCACAAGGCATGACAAGGCAAAGTAAGGCAAGGCACAAGACAAGGCAAAAGGCAAGCAAAGGCACAAACTAAGGAAAGGCAAGGCACAAGGCAAGGCAAAGCACAAAGCAAGACGAGGCAGGGCACAGGGCAAGACACAAAGCAAGGCATAGGGCTAGGCAAGGCAACACAAAGCCCAAGGCAAGGCAAGTCAAAACACAAGGCAAGCTGCAAGGCAAGGCGAGGCATAAGGAAAGACTAGGGAAGGCAAGACGAGCCCTGGCAAGGCAAAGCACAAGGCAAGGCAAGGCGCAAGGCAAGGCACAAAGCAACACAAGGCAAGGCACAAGGCAAGGCGAAGCACAAAGCAAGGCAAGGCAAGGCACAAGGCAAGGCACAGGGCAAGGCAAGGCACAGGGCAAGGCAAGGCAAGGCAATGCAAAGCGCAAGGCACAAGGAAAGCCACAAAGCTAGGCAAGGCAAGGCACAAGGCAAGACTAGAAAAGGCAAGACAAAGCACAGCAAGCCAAGGCAGAAGCAAGGCAATGCACAAGCAAAGGCAACACAAGGCATAAGGCAAGGCAAGGAGCAAGGCACAAGGCAAGGCGCAAGGCACAAGGCAAGGGAAGGCAAGTCAAGCCACAAGGCAAGGCAAAGTCAGGCAAGGCAAGGCACAAGGCAAGGCAAGCCACAAGGCAAGGCAAGTCAAGCAAAAGGCAAGGCAAGGCACAAAGCAAGGCAAGTGAAGGCAAAAGGCAAGTCAAAGGGAAAGGGACAAGGCAAGTCAGGGCAAGCAACAAAGAAATAGCAAGGCAAAGCAAAAATCAAGGCAAGGCACAAGGCAAGGCAAGTCAAAGCAAGGCAAGTCAAGGCAAGGCAGAAAGTAAGGCACAGCAATGCAAAGCCCAAGTTAAGGCAAGCCAAAGCAAGGCACGAGGCAAGGCAAGGAAAGGTAAGGCACAGAACAAGGCAAGGCAGGGCACAAGGCAAGGCAAGGCCCAAGGCAAGGCAAAGCCCAAGGCAAGGCAAGGCACAATGCAAGGCAAGGCAGGGCAAAAGGCAAAGCAAGACAAGGCATGGCAAGGCAAGGCAAGGCACAAGGCAAAGCAAGACAAGGCATGGCAAGGCAAGGCATAAGGGAAGGCAAGTTACAAGGTAAGGCAAGGCAAGTTACAAGGCAAGGCAAGTTACAAAGCAAGGCCCAAGGCAAGGCAAGGCACAAGGCAAGGCAAAAGGCAAAGCAAGACAAGGCATGGAAAGGCAAGGCATGGAAAGGCAAGGCACAAGGCAAGGCAAGTTACAAGGTAAGGAAAGGCAAGTTACAAGGTAAGGCAAGGCACAAGGCAAGGCAAAGCAAGGCAAAAGGCAAAAGCAAGACAAGGCATGGAAAGGCAAGGCAAGGCGCAAGGCAAGTTACAATGTAAGGCAAGGCAAGTCACAACGTAAGGCAAGGCAAGTCACAACGTAAGGCAAGGCAAGTCACAACGTAAGGCAAGGCAAGTTACAAGGCAAGGCACGAGGTGAGGCAAGGCAAGAGGCAAGGCACAATGCAAGGCAAGGCAAGGCAACACAAAAGGCAAAGCAAGACGAGGCATGGCAAGGCAAGGCACAAGGCAAGGCAAGGCACAAGGTAAGGCAAGGCAAGTTACAAGGCAAGACAAGGCACACAAGGCAAGGCACATAGGGCAAGGCAAGGCAAGGTACAAGGCAAGGCAAAAGGCAAAGCAAGATGAGGCATGGCAAGGCAAGGCACAAGACAAGGCAAGTTACAAGTTAAGGCAAGGCAAGTTACAAGGCAAGGCAAGTTACAAGGCAAGGCACAAGGCAAGGCAAGTTATAAGGCAAGGCAAGTTACAAGGCAAGACCCAAGGCAAGGCAAGGCCCAAGGCAGGGCAAGGCAAGGCAAGGCACAAGACAAGGCATGACAAGGCAAGGCAAGGCAAGGCAAGGTACAAGGTAAGTCAAGGCACAAGGTAAGTCAAGTTACAAGGTAAGGAAAGACGAGTTACCAGGCAAGTCAAGGCAAGGCAAGGGAAGGCACAAGGCAAGGCAATGCAAGGTACAAGGCAAGACAAGGTAAGGCACAAGGTAAGGGACACCAAGGCACAAGCAAGGCACAAGGCAAGGCAAGACAAGCCACAAACCAAGGGAAGGCAAGTAAGAAGGCAAGGTAAATCAACGCACAAGTCAAGTCAAGGCAAGGCTCAAGGCAAGGCAAAGGAAGGCAAGGCAAGGCAGAAGGCATGGCAGAAGGCAAAGCAAGGCAAGGCACAAGGCAAGGTGGAAGGCAAGGCGCAAGGCAAGGCAAGGCAAGGCAAGGCACAAAGCAAGGCAAGGCAAGGCAAGGTGGAAGGCAAGGCAAGGCACAAAGTAAGTCAAGGCAATGCACAAAGCAAGGCAAGGCAAGGCACAACGCAAAGCAAGGCAATGCAAAGTGCAGGGCAAACCAAGGCAAGGCAAGCCAAGGCACAAGGCAAGGCACCAGGCAAGGCAAGGGAAGGCAAGGCAAGGGAAGGGAAGGCAAGGGAAGGGAAGGCAAGGCAAGGCTCAAGGCAAGGCAAGTTACAAGGCAAGGCAAGTCAAGGCGCAAGGGAAGGCAAGGCAAGGCACAAGGCAAGACAAAGCCAGGCAAGGCAAGGCAAGTCAAGGCAAGCAAAAGGCAAGCCAAGGGAACACAAGACACAAGGCAAATCAAGGCACCAGGCAAGGCAGGGCAACACAAGGCACAAGGCAAGGCAAGGCAACACAAGGCACACGGCAAGGCAAGTGAAGGCAAAAAGCAAGCCAAGGGAACACAAGACACAAGGCAAATCAAGGCACCAGGCAGGGCAATACAAGGCACAAGGCAAGGCAAGTGAAGGCAAAAGGCAATGCATGGTGCAAGGGAATGGCAAGGCAAAGCAAAGAGCAAGGCAAGGCAAGGCACAAGGCACGGCAAGTCAAAACAAAGAGCAAGACATAGCAAGGGAAGGCCCAAGTCAAGGCAAGCCGAAGCGAGCCATGAGGCAAGGCAAGGTAAGGCACAGAACAAGGCAGACAAGGCACAAGGCAAAGCAAAGCACGAAACAAGGCAGGGCACAAGGCAAGAAAACACAAGGAAAGACAAGGCATGACAAAGCAAGGCAAGGCAAGGCACAAGATAAGGCAAATAAAGGCAAAGGATGACAAGGAATGGCAAGGCAAGGTACGAGGCAAGGCAAGGAAATGCACAAGGCAAGGGAATGCAAGGCACAAGGCAAGGCAAGCCAAGGCAAGGCAAAGTCAACTTAAGGCAAGGCAAGGCACAATATAAGGCAAGGCAAAAGGCAAAGCAAGACAAGATATGGCAAGGCAAGGCACAGGGCAAGGCAAGTTACAAGGCATGACACAAGACAAGGCAAATCAAGGTACAAGGCAAGGGAAGGGACAAGGCAAGGCAATGCAAGGTACAAGGCAAAGCAAGACAAGGTAAGGCACAAGGTAAGGGACACCAAGGCACAAGCAAGGCACAAGGCAAGACAAGGCACAAGCCAAGGGAAGGCAAGTAACAAAGCAAGGCAAACCAACGCACAAGTCAAGGCAAGGCAAGGCATAAGCAAGGCAAGGCAAAGCACAAAACAAGGCATGGCAAGGCAAAGCAAGGCAAGGCACAAGGCAAGGCAAGTCACAAGGCAAGGCAAAGCAAGGCACAAGGCAAGGCAAAAGGCAAGGCAATGCTAGGCACAAGGCAAGGCAAAGCAAAGCAAGGCAAAGCAAGGCACAAGGCAAGGCAAAACACAAGGCAAGGCAAGGTGCGAGGCAGAGCAAGGCAAGACACAAGGCAAGGCAAAGCAAGGCAAGGCACAAGCCAAAACAGGGCAAGGCACAAGGCATGGTAAATCAAGGCACAAGGCGAGACAATGCAAAGCACAAGGCAAGGCAAGGCAAGGCACAAGGCAAGGCAAGGCACAAGGCAAGGCAAAGCACAAGGCAAGGCAAGGCACAAGGCAAGGCAAAGTCAGGCAAGGCACAAGGCAAGGCAACGCAAGGCACAAGGCAAGGCAAGGCAAGCCACAGGCAAAGCACGGGCAAGGCACAAGACAATGCAAGGTGAGACAGGCAAGGCAAGAAAAGCATGGCAAGGCAAGGCACAAGGCAAGGCAAGTTACAAGGCAAAGCAAGGCAAGGCAAGGCACAAGACAAGGGAAGGTAAGTAACAACGCAAGACAAATTAACACACAAGTCAAGGCAAAGCAAGGCAAGGCACAAGGCAAAGCAAAGTAAGGCAATGCAAGACACAAGGCAAGGCAAGGCACAAGGCAAAGCAGAAGGGAAGGCAAGGCACAAAGCAAGGGAAGGTAAGGCACAAAGCAAGGCACAAGACAAGGCAAGGCACAAGGCAAAGCAAGGGAAGGCAAGACAAGGCATGGTAAGGCAAGGCACAAGGCAAGGCAAGTTACAAGGCAAGGCAAGGCAAGGCATAAGCCAAGGCAAGGAACAAGGCAAGTCAAATCAAGGTACAAGGCCAGGCAAGGGAAAGCAAAAGGCAAGGCAAGGGAAAGCACAAGGCAAGGCAAGGCACAAGGCAAGTGAAGGGAAGCAAGGCACAAAGCAAGTCAAGGCACCAAGCAAGTCAAGGCACCAGGCAAGGCAAGGCACAAAGCAAGACAAGTGAAGGCAAAAGGCAAGGCGCAAGGCAAGTCAAGGCAGGGCACAAGGGAATGGCAAGGCAAAGCAAAAAGCAAGGCAAGGCAAGGGAAAGCAAGGCACAGCAAGGCAAGGCCCTAGTCATGGCAAGCCAAAGCAAGGCAGCAGGCAAGGCAATATAAGGCAAAGAACAACACAAGGCACAAGGCAAGGCAAATCAAGGCACAAGGCAAGGCAAGGCAAGGCACAAGGCAAGGCAATGCAAGGCACAAGGCAAGGCAAACCAAGGCACAAGTAAGTCACAAGGGAGGCAAAGCAAGGCAAGGCACAAGGCAAGGCAAGGCACAAGCCAGGGGAAGGCAAGGCAAATCAATGCACAAGTCAATGCAAGGCAAGGCGCAAGGCAATGCAAGGCATAAGGCAAGGCACAAGACAAGGCACAAGCAAGGCAACGCAAGGCAACACAAGGCAACACAAGACACAAGGCAAGGCACAAGTTAAAGCACAAGGCAAGTCAAGGCAAGGCACAAGGAGGGCAAGGCAAAGCAAAAAGCAAGGCAAGGCAAGGCAAGGCAGAAAGCAATGCACAGCAAGGAAAGACCCTGGTCATGGCAAGCCAAAGCAAGGCACGAGACAAGGCAAGATAAAGCACAGAACAACGCAAGGCACAACGCAAGGGAGGGCACAAGTCAAGGTAAGGTGCAAGACAAGGCAAGGCACAAGGCAAGGCACAAGGCAAGGCGCAAGGTAAGGCATAAGCAAGGCAAGGGGCAAGGCAAGGCACAAGGCAAGGCACAAGGCATAAGGCAAGGCAAACCAAGGCACAAGCAAGTCACAAGGGAGGCAAAGCAAGGCAAGGCACAAGGAAAGGAAAGGCACAAGCCAAGGGAGGGCAAGGCAAATCAATGCACAAGTCAGCGCAAGGCAAGGCAAGGTGCAAGGCAATGCAAGGTGCAAGGCAATGCAAGGCACAAGGCAAGGCAAGGCACAAGACAAGACAAGGGACAAGCAAGGCAACACAAGGCATAAGGCAAGGCAATGCAAAGCACAAAGCAAGGTGCAAGGCAAGCCAAGGCACAAGGCAAGGCAACGAGGCAATGCAAGGCACAAGGCAAGGCAAGATAAGGCAAGGCACAAGGCAAGGCACAAGGCAAGGTGTAAGGCAAGACAAGGCAAGGCACAAGGCAAGGCAAGCAAAAGGCAAGTGAACGGAAGGCAAGGCACAAGGCAAGTCAAGACACCAGGAAAGGAAAGGAAAGGCACAAAGGAAGGCAAGTGAAGGCAAAAGCCAAGGCACAAGGCAAGGCAAGGCACAAGGGAAAGGCAAGGCAAAGCAAAAAGCAAGGCAAGGCAAGGCAGAAAGCAAGGCACAGCAAGGCAAGGTAAAGCACAGAACAATGCAAGGCACAAGGCAAGGGAGAGTGCAAGGCAAGGCAAGGCAAGGCACAAGACAAGGCATAAGCAAGGCAAGGCAAGTACAAGGTAAGACAAGGCACAAGCCAAGACAAGGCACAAGCCAAGGCACAAGGCAAGGGAAGGCACAAGGCAAGGCAATGCAAGGCACAAGGCAAGGCAATGCAAGGCACAAGGCAAGGCAATGCAAGGCACAAGGCAAGGCAAACCAAGGCACAAGCAAGTCACAAGGGAGGCAAAGCAAGGCAAGGCACAAGGGAAGGCAAGGCAAATCAATGCACAAGTCAATGCAAGGCAAGGCAAGGTGCAAGGCAATGCAAGGCACAAGGCAAGGCAAAGCAATGCAAGGCAAGGCACAAGACAAGACAAGGCACATGCAAGGCAATGCAAGGCAACACAAGGCACAAGGCAAGGCAATGCAAAGCACAAAGCAAGGTGCAAGGCAATGCAAGGCGCAAGGCAAAGCAAGGTCAGGCAAGGCACAAGGCAAGGCAAGGCAAACAAAAGGCAAGCGAAGGGAAGGCAAGGCACAAAGTAAGGCAAGTGAAGGCAAAAGGCAAGGCAAAGCACAAGGAAATGGCAAGGCAAGTCACAAAGCAAGGCAAGGGAAGGCACACGGCAATACACAAGGCAAGGCAGTGTAAGGCACAAGGCAAGGGAAGACAAGGCAAGGCACAAGGCAAGCCAAACCAAGTTACAAGCAAGGCACAAAGCAAGGTAAGGCACAAGGCAAGGCTAGGAGCAAGCCAAAGGAAGGCAAGTAACAAGACAAAGCAAATCATTGCACAAGTCAAGGCAAGGCAAGGCACAACGCAAGGCAATGCAAGGCACAAGGCAAGGCAAAGCAATGCAAGGCAAGGTACAAGGCAAGGCAAGGACAGGCAAGGCAAGGCAAAGCAATGCAAGGCAAGGCACAAGTCAAGGCAAGGCAAGCTAAAGGCAAGTGAAGGTAAGGCAAGGCATAAGGCAAGTCAAGGCACCAGGCAAAGCAAGGCAAGGCACCAAGCAAGGCAAGTGAAGGCAAAAGGCAAGGCAAGGCAAGCCAAGCCAAGACAAGGCACAAGGGAATGGCAAGGCAAAGCAAAGAGTAAGGCAAGTCAAGGCAAGGCAGAAGGCACAGCAAGGCAAGGCCCTAGTCAAGGCAATCCAAAGCAAGGCACGAGGCAAGACAAGGTAAGGCACAGAACAATGCAAGGCATGAGGCAAGGCAAGGCACAAGGCAAGGCACAAGGCAAGGCAAATTAAGGCACAAGGCATGGCAAGGCATGGCAACGCAAGGCACAAGACAAGGCAAGTTACAAGTCAAAGCAAGGCAAGGCAAGGCACAAGTCAAGCAAGGCAAGGCAAATCAAGGCATAAAGCAGGCGCAAGGCAAGGCAAGGCAAGCAAAAGGCAAGTGAAGGGAAGGCAAGGCACAAGGCAAGTCAAGGCATCAGGCAAGACAAGTCACAAAGCAAGGCAAGCGAAGGCAAAAGGCAAGGCAAGGCCAGGTGCAAGGCAAGTCAAGACAACGCACAAGAGAATGGCGAGGCAAAGCAAAAAGTAAGGCAAGGCAAGTCAAAGCAAGGGAGAAAGCAAGGCACAACAAGGCAAGGCCCTAGTCAAGGCAAACCAAACAAGGCATAAGTCAAGGCAAGGTAAGGCACAGAAAAACGCACGACACAAGGCAAGGCATGGCAAGGCAAGGTACAAGGCAAGGCAAGTTACAAGGCAAGGCAATTTACAAGGCAAGGGAAAGCACAAGCCAAGGCAAGGCAAGGCACAAGGCAAGGCAAGGCGCAAGGCAAGGCACAAGACAAGGCAAATCAAGGCACAAGACAAGGCAAATCAAGGCACAAAGCAAGGCAAATCAAGGCACAAGCCAAGCGAAGGCAAGTAACAAGGCAATGCAAATCAATGTCAAGTCAAGGCAAGTAACAAGGCAAGGCACAAGTCAGGTCAAGGTACAAGGCAAGTCAATGCAATGCAAAGCAAGGCACAAGACAAGGCAAGGCACAAAGCAAGGCACAAGGCGCAAGACAAGGCAAGGCACAAAGGTAGGGTACAAAGGCAAGGAGAGACAAGGCATAATGAGGCAAGGCACAAGGCAAGGCAAATCAAGGCACAAAACTAGGCAAGGGAATGCACAAGGCAAGGCAATGCAAGGCACAACAGAAGGCAAGGCAAGGCAAGGCAAGGCACAAGGCAAGACAAAGTTCAAAGCAAGACAAGGCAAGGCAAGGCAAGGCAAACCACACAGCAATACAAGGCAAGGCACAACACGAGGCACAAGGCAATGCAAAGCACAAGGCAAGCCAAGGTATAAAGCAGGCCACAAGGCAAGGCAAGGCATGGCACAAGGCAAGACTAAGAAAGGCAAGAAAAGGCATGGCAAGGCAAGGCACAAACCAAGGCAACGCAAGGCGCAAGGCAATGCAAGGCGCAAGGCAAGACAAGACAGAGCAAAGCATATCTCAAGGCAAAGCAAGTCCAGTCACAAGGCAAGGCAAAGCAATGCACAGCAAGGCCATGGCAAGGCAAGGCACAAGGCAAGGCAAGGCACCAGGCAAGGCAAGGGCACAAAGCAAGGCAAGTGAAGGCAAAAGGCAAGTTAAGGCAAGGCACAAGGCAAGTCAGGGCAAGGCACAAGGAAATGGTGAGGCAAAGCAATTATTAAGGCAAGGCAAGGCACAAGGCAAGGTAAGTCAAGACAAGGCAGAAAGCAAGGCATACCAAGGCAAGGCCCAAATCAAGGCAAACCAAAGCAAGGCACAAGGCACGGCAAGATAAGGCACAGAACAAGGCAAGGAACAAGGCAAGGCAAGGCAAGGCACAAGAAAGGCAAGGCAAGGCATAAGGCAAGACAATCCACAAGCAAGGCAAGGCACAAGGCAAAGCAAGGCAATGCAAAGCACAGGGCAAAGCAAGGCAAGGCTAAGTCAAGGCACAAGGCAAGGCAAAGCAAGGCACAAGGCAAGCCAAGGGAAGGCAAAACAAGGCACAGCAAGGCAAGGCACAAGGCAAGTTGCAAGGCAAGGCACAAGGAAGGCAAGGCAAGGCACAAGGAAGGCAAGGCAAGGCACAAGGAAGGCAAGGCAAGGCACAAGAAAAAGCAAGGCAGAAAGCAAGGCAAGGCATGAGGCAAAACAAAGCAAGACACAAGGCAAGGCAAGGCACAAGGCAAAGCAAGACAGAAAGCAAGACAAGGCAAGGCACAAGGCAAACCAAGGCAGAAAACAAGGCAATGCATAAGGCAAGGCAAGGCAAGGTAAGGCAAGGCACAAGGCAAGGCAAGGCAAGGCAAATCAAAAGGCAAGGCAAGGCAAGGCAAGGCACAAGACAAGGCAAGGCAAGGCACAAGGCAGGCAAGGGAAGGCACAAGGCAAGGCAATGCAAGGTACAAGGCAAGGTATGACAAGGTAAGGAACAAGGCAAAGGAAACCAAGGCACAAGCAAGGCACAAGCCAAGGGAAGGCAAGTAACAAGACAAGGAAATCAATGAACAAGTCAAGTCAAGGCAAGGCACAATGCAAGGCAATGCAAGGCACAAAGCAAGGCAAAGCAATGCAAGGGAAGCCACAAGACAAGGCAAGGCACAAGGCAAGGCAAGGCACAAGCCAAGGCAAGGCACAAGCC